GAGCCGATCCACATATATCCTACTTTTATTTTATTTTTTTAATAACTTTTTTTATTCAAAATTAAAACAAAACATATTATCCAGAAACATATCATTCTTATTCCCCCCTCCCCCTACTTAACAGAGATAAACACTGGAGAGTTGCTGCCAGTCAGTTTAGACAATGCTGAGCAAAGTAGAACAATGGTTTGAGGCAGGATAATGTAGTTTTTTAATATGTACTTGTGATGCTGAGGCAAATGGTAGGCCAGGCTGGTCTCATCATAACAGTTTGAAGAGGGTTTGCTAAATAGATGACTTGGAAAGCAAAAGCTTTTATAATCTCTTTACCCATTATCAAGCTTTTCAATTCCTTGGAATCTGTTTTTAATACTCTGCTTAAAGAACAGGCACTTATCCTTAAACGTCTCTGTTAATTAAAATTTCCCCTAAATCAGGAGTAGAAATGTTCTCCCCTAAGCATACTTGCCTGGGAGGAAACCCTCTTGAACACAGTGGGACTTAGATCTGCATTGGATTGTGCTACAAGTTTGGCTAGGCTATGCTAATTAAACGGTGAGTATGATGACCTTTCGACACAGGAGATTAGGCCTGGCGGTAAAAATTCAATTCTGTAGGGATAGCTTGTGAATCGCTTCAAAGCTATTTCCATTCAAGAAGATACAGTATGTGGTTACATTATCAACCAGCTGGAAAACTGCTTTCAAAGCATTCAGCTAGCATTTTCAAGAACAGAATGGGTAGCTTGTTGCTTTAATTACCCTGCGTGCAATTGGCCGAAGATTAAAAAGTGTGACTTGAAATAATGATTATTTGGGAATTGTCACCAGGGTTATGAGGCCCTGTTCAGATGCAATGAGGCCACTCAAAAAACAACAACATGGTTTGTGTGAATCAGCAATGAGTTTAAGTATTTCCCCCCCTATTTTTCTGCATTTTCCTCAATTGCTCAGCTGCAGAGGAGACTTCCTGGTTCCATAGCCACTGTTTCCCATCCTGTGATGTTCTAACCAGGCACCTGTGGTTTCGGCACTTCCAGCAAATCAGGATCCAGGCTTCCAACCCTGGTTTGTAGGGAGCCCTTTAACCAGGATCCTAGTTTGAATATCATGGGAAAGCATGGTTGAAGAAACCAGGATGTCTTCTCTGGGTGAGCTGAAGGGGAACTGGAGCTAAGTTATTGTTCGTGCTTTGTTGGAAAATGGCCCCCTTCCATCTGAATTGTGGAGCTGACGATGGCAGTACCTCTCTCTCTCCTGGGATTTTTGCTGATAAGATTTCAGATGATCTTATGTTCGCCTATGAATTCATACTTTTTCAGAGCCGGTGTTCTGGTACTATGTGAAAGAAGTTCTAAATAAACATGAGCTGCAGCGTTTCTACTCCCTGAGGAATATTACCACAGACGTTGGCAGAGGTCGTGCTTGGCTGCGCTGTGCGCTGAATGAACATTCCTTAGAAAGATACTTTCACATGCTGCTTGCAGATAAAAGCAGGCTGAGGTAACTTCCCTTTTTTGACCCTTTTCCCGACAGGTAAATTTCTACTGGCAGAGGCTTCCTGATGAGCCACCTGAAACTGCAGCAACAGGCTAAAATTTCTATTTATGGCATGAACAGATGATGTACTAATTTGATATTAAACAGCGAAGTGTTTGGTCATAATTTAAGTAATTCGCAATTATAGGCAATTCTGCTGCAGCAGAAGATAGATAGCTAGATAGCTAGATAGCTAGATAGGGATGATTCCAAATGCATTAGGTACATAACAATTTTGTATGAGTCTTCAGTCTTCCAATTTTGTTTTAAGGTACCCAAGAGGCTGTATGAAAAAACCCACAAACAGATACTGACCTTAGGCAAGTCACTTGGCCTATATCATTTCATACACACACACTTCCTGCTCAATCTTCCACATGCTCCCATACATATTGACTTGGTTTAAGTGCAATTGTCTGATAAATCATGGTTTATTAGTTGGAGAATTAGCCTTGTGCCCATGCGCTCTGTCACCATCCCTCCCCTTGACCTCCTGACTCGGTGTTTCGTTAAACCATGGTTTTCCATTGCATTCTGTTCACCTGCTGCCCTGAAGGCAAGTGTGGGATGGAGGCTGTCTCTCAGGTCTCATAATCCATGGCTTATTAGACTTGCTAGCTGCATCTGGCCCTCTCTAGCTCACTTATCTTCCATGGAAGAGTGTGCATGAGAGAGTTCTGTTTACTGTGCAAAGAAAAGTCTGCATTAGCTCTATTTTTTCAGGATGCAGACTCTAATCCTCATAACACAGCTAAGGTCTCTGTAGATCAGAGTTTACCTATGCCTTAACCCTTCGCTCCCTTCGCTCATCTAGAGCAGTCTTCTTCATCCTGGTGCCCTCTGGATGTTTTAGACCACAGCTCCCATCATCCACCACCATTGGCCATGCTGGCTGGGACTGGTGGGAACTGTAGTCCAACAACATCAGGAAAGTCACCTGTTGGGAAACGCCTGTATAAAGTGGCTGGTCTGGGCATAACACAAGGTTGGGAAGTAGATGAGTAATGCATGTGGTTGGGTTGAGGGACTGATGGCCATGAGGTTTGGTCACCCTGTTGTGTTTGGTGTTTGGCTATTGCTGTGGCTGTTAGCATTGTAGAGGGTGGTGGTGGGGATAGGTTGGCGGGTTCTTTATACACAATCTTGATAGTAGTTTTAATGGGATTTGGAGAAAGCCAGTCCCTGAGCTTTTAAAAATGCACTCGGCAATGTTAAGCCTCAGCAGCTTACGAAGTACTATAGATCATTACTATTGAGGAGTCCTTTGTCCATAACCGAGTTATGGCCTCTTCTCTAAACTGAGGCTGGCTTCACTCTGCCACAGTGCAGTCTTGGTATCTGATCTGTGTCTTGAGAGTTGGAAGAGAGTAGTAAAAAAAGTCTGACTTTTTTTTAGATCATAAAGGTGTCATGGGCAACACATCTGCCACTTTTCTGCTCTCTTTCAGTTTATAGAAGTAGTGTAGCGCTTCTCCTGTCCCCATCTGAAATGGAGTTAGTAAGAACCACAGCCTCTTCCGTATGTATAGATTTGTTTACCTTTTTGTCCTGCCTTCTTTTTTTAACATCTAGTGTCTTCTACGAAGACTGGTCCTTCATGATGGACGAAGAGCGCTCTAGTATGATTCCCACTATGGCGGCTGGTATGTATCATCCAGTCTGATCTGTGGGGCAGTTTGTGGTGAAGACTGGACTAGAAATGTTTTAAACACACAATGCTGGATAACGTTTCTGGTACTGATAGGAAGAAATGAATTTATTTATATGCTGCCAAAATGGCTTCTAAGCAGGTTACATCTATAAAATCAATACACAGTTGAAATGCCTAACGACAGTTCCAATCTCAGTTAAAACAAACAGTTAATAAGCATGACAGTTAAAAACAGTTTAACCCCGCCGCACGGTTTAAACAGTAAAATCACAAGTTCCTTTCAGGGTAACGCTTGCCTAAACAGTTGTGTCTTCAGGAGCTGGTGGAATGCCAACGCTGATGGGACCCTCCCATATTTTAGCAGGGAGAACATTGCCCAGGACTAATGCCACCAGTGAAAAATCCCTCATCCGTGTTACCACAAGCCGATAATCATCAGATTGTAGCAAAACTAACTGGGTTCCATTAGCTGACTGTAGTGCCCTTGCTGGGCAACAGAGGGGAAGTTAAAAGGATCAAGTAGCCTTATAATGTTCTTTCTTTTCTTTTTGTGAACCGCTTTGAGGTTTCTTTTACAATCAAGCGGTATATACATTTTATGAAATAAATATTTTTTTGTAAATTTGTCCCCTGAGTTATATTGCATTTCTTTTTTTGCTTTTATATAAAGGGCTGCATTCTATTCTTTTTGCAATCAACATTGATAACAAGGATTTGAATGGGCAAAGCAAGTGCCCTCCCACAGTCTCTGACCTTCTCAAAGAATCCACACAGAATGTGACCTCGTTGTTGAAGGAATCTACTCAAGGAGTTAGCAGCCTCCTCAGAGAAATCACGGCGTCCTCTCCTGTTTCGATCTTAATCAAATCGGATCAAGATGCCGACCCCTTGCCCATTTTATCGAAGAGTCTTAGCGGTGGTAAGTCTTACTGAGCCGCATTGACAGAGGTAGCCTGCAAGAAAAGAGGCTTGTTTTAGATGTTAGCTGTGATTTTGAACATTGGGAGGTTTTCACTCATACCTTATCTCTTAGGCAGCACCTCTTCCATGTACCCAGTTTTTTGCTTCTGCATGGTATGATGCAATGGTTAGAGAGCAGGACTAGGACACGGGAGACCAGGGTTCAAAACTCCTTTCAGCCACAAAACTCACTGGGTGACCTGGAGTCAGTCACTAATTCTTAGCCTAACCTACCTCACAGGGTTGTTATGGGGGTAATGGGGAGGAGGAAGAACCACATGCCCTGCTTTGCGGTCTTTGGAGGAAAGGGGGGATGTAAATGCAATAAAGATTCATCATGCATAGGTGGTCAAGCAGCTAACACATTCCGATAAACACACGATAGGCCAGTTAAGTTGTAGACTTTTCTATCTGTATCAAGGGGAAAAGACATGCAAGAGACGGCAACTAGGTCGAGAGTTCTCGCTGTAAAGTTAAGAATGACAAGCTACTACATTGTTCTAGGTCATATCTGTGTTTGCCGTCGGGAATCCATATGAGCTGTAGCAATAACGTGAAGAATAAATTCATAAGAAATTGGTTTCCTTTCTACAGCTGTGCAAAGCCACCTTTTAAAAGCTCATAATTTGGCATGATGTCTGAACTGATACAATTGCAACAATTGGCTTCACCTCTGGAAAATGGAAAAGTAGCACTTAAGTTGCAGTTCACCTATACATTTGCGAATTCAAACCAAGCTTGGAATTTTAAAACCATGGCTATCACAAACCGTGGCTATCACAAAACCATGGTTTCAAATGACCTGCTATAAAATCTTGATTCTAGAAATAAGCTGGGTTTAGGCATAATGATTAGGGTAGCTCAGTTGGTAGAGCATGAGACTCCTAATCTCAGGACTGCGGGTTTGAGCCCCACATGGGGTGAAAGGTTCCTGCATTGCAGGGAGTTGGACTAGATGACCCTTGTGGTCCCTCTCTACAGTTCTCTTATTAGTATCCTGAAAAACTATTAGTTCACACTCTTCCCCCCCGCCAGTTGCATATATGCTACCCTGTAAAATTAGAATAAGCTTTCTAAAATAACAAAACTACTTTTCTTACAGGCTGTGTGTTTTGAAATCTTCTGTGTTCATCTCTCTCTCTCTCTCTTCTGCAGATTTAAAATGCAGAAAAGATCGGATGAAGAAAAAGAAGAAAGTCACAAATATCATTTCGTTTGATGATGAGGAAGATGAGCAAAACCCAGGGGATGTCTTAAGGGGAATTGTTGCAGGGGAAAGCTCCGAAGAAAACTTGGACAGGTTTTCCCCCTACGTAGCTTCTCCCCCTGGCCCCGGAGAGACGCTAGCTAAACTGAGCGGGGACCAAAGTGTGCCTTTGTTGAAAAACGATTCCGTATATCTCAATGGGGACTGTGGCTTCCAAAAGTTGGATGTGAAGAGTATAGACGATGAAGATGTGGATGAAAATGACGACGCGTACGGCAAAATTTTAGGAAACCGCTGCATGGCAGAAGACACAGAGTCTTGTGGAAAGTGAGTATTCTGCAGTGTCCCAAGACATGTGACATTTCCCTATGTTAATTAAGAGGCAAACTCGAGAGATTCAGGGATTGTTTTGTCTCGCATGGCTTTTATCTTCAGCAGGTTTGGAGGCCAAATTCCACACTCGCAAGTCTCTCTCTCTGGCCCTCGTACCCCTTTCCCCAGGCCACTCCCCACCCTGGCCCTGCTTTGAACCCCCAAGTGTTTTTGCCTGGCTTGAAGGTGTCCTTGAACTCCAATACTGGCCCTAATTTGCCTGAATGGAGGCTAGAGATGGGTGTGCGAGTGTGTGTAGAAATTACCGTACAAAGGGGGGAAATGACATTTGTGGCTCCAACTGCTTTTGCCTCTTGCTCTGCCCCACACCTGGAAGGCTGCCCAAAAGGGAATGCGGTCCTTGGGCTGAAAAAGCTGCCCCACCCCTTGATCTTTGGGGGATTTCATTTTCACCACTTTCTGAACCGGGTGGCGGAGTCCTCCTTGCTACCTGTCCTGCCTTGGCCAAGTTTGTCATGAATCTTCTTGGACTTTGAAAAACGGCAACTCCCTCTTTCTCTCTCTCTCTCTGTGTTTGTGCATGCACGAGAACATATTTATCTAGAAAGCAATCATCCTTTTTAAAGATCTACTGTAGGAAGCTGCCTGCTACAAAGTCAGGCTATTGGTCCATCCAGGTCAGTATTGCCTATCCCAGTGGTTTCCAAACTTGGGTCCCAGCTGTGTACAACCCTCATCATCCCGGGCTAGCAGGACCCGTGGTCCGTGATGATAGGAATTGTAGCCCCAAAGCAGCTGGAGACCCAGGTTTTGAAAACGCTGGTCTACAGACAGAATGACTGGTAGTGGATCTCCTGGGTTTCAGTCAGCTCCTTGCTCCCCCTGGGGATTGATCCTAGGACCTTTTGCAACCAAAGCAAGTGCCCAACGACTGAGCCACAAAGGAAGCATGTGAGCAAAGGACTGTACAGCGTGCATTGAGCTGCCACAGCATTGCGTTAACCTAGTGCAGTGCTAGCCCTTGTCCAGTCCTGGTGAAGAGAAGCTCGACGGTCAAGTTTGGAAGAAGCAGGTTAGACAGCGGCTGGGAGCAGATAGCCAGAGCAGGGGAATGATGGGCAGGGACCCATACACCATATTTTTCGCTCTATAAGATCTAAAAAATATAAGATCTCTATAAGATCTAAAAAATATAAGACTATAAGAAATATTGCTAGAGAGTTTTCAATAAGTGGAAAAAAATCAAGATGAAATGTATCTAACGAATTCAAAGCAGGATAGGTGCAAAGTACCATATTTTTCGCTCTATAAGGCACACCAGACCACAAGACGCACCTAGTTTTTGGATGAGGAAAACAAGAAAAAAAATATTCTGAATCTCAGAAGCCAGAACAGTAAGAGGGATCGCTGCACAGTGAAAGCAGCAATCTCTCTTGCTGTGTGATGGCCTGGGAATCCGATTCAGAGGCTGAACCGGAGGAATCCCAGCCTGCACAGGAGTCCCCGCCTCCAGGGCCGGCTGAACTGGGGCAGGGCCTTGATTCTGAAGCACCTGCACCTGTGCCGGATCCTCAGGAGCAGGCACCAGGTGAATCCACTCTGGCTCCGGAGGGGGTTGAGAACACAGTGCCTACAGGTGCACCTCTCCCAGCCCTGTCAGGGGAAGGTGAGTCTCCCCTTGGGTCCAGTAACCCTTCAGCCTCTCCTGAGCTGCAGAGGCTCAGGGCAGAGAGGCAGAGGGAACTGGTTTCTCCCAGGAGGAGTGCTCGCCTTAAGGCCAGGAGAGGCGGGTCTCCTGGGGGCCGGGACCGCCCCTGGCCTCAGAGAAGATAAAGGCCAGTCAGCCCGGTCCCAGGTTGCGGGAGCAACGTCGTTGAAGAGCTGTTTCGGCCAGCATCCAGTCCTGTTCCCCCAGAGTTCCTGTCCTTGCCCGGCTCCTCGCTTTGGACCCCGCTTCGCCCATGGAGGACTGTCTGCCGACCCTCAACTCAGGTCCTGGACCTCGCCCCATGGTAACCTCCCCCCGGGACCAGCACATGCTGTTCTGGCTTCTGGGATAGCTGCGCAGCCTGCATTCGCTCCATAAGACGCACACACATTTCCCCTTACTCTTTAGGAGGGAAAAGGTGAGTCTTATAGAGCAAAAAATATGGTATATCCACTGAAGAAATTGGCCAGCTCAGATGCCAGATGGAGCTTGATGCAAACTGTAGTGAAATACTGGCTTTTCTGCCACAGGGGGGCAGTTTGGATCCTCAGCGAGACCTGATCTCGGAAGTAATCACTTGGTACATTTACCTGACGAGCTTGCAGAGCTGGCTTTGGATTTGGGTTAGACGTTTCCTGCAACAAAACCCCTTATTATTAGTGGAAACTCAAGACACTTTACAATCACCCTAGATCAGTGTTTCCCAAAGTGCAGAATACGTACGTACCCCCAGTAGCACACGAAAGGGTTCAAATGGTACATAGCAGATTTTTAAAATTGTACTTTTTTTGTTTGTTTTTTAAAGCTGCAGAAAACAATTCATTAAAATTTGAATATATTACCTTCATCTGAGAAGGCGGTACATGATTTACACTGTGGTAAATGATACCCCATTGGAGTCATTCCCTATCCAGATTAGACAGGGGCTGACCGTTTTTTATTTTGCCCTCGTGTTGAAGGCTTTCTTATTTTGGGAAGCCTTCTTGGAAGGATGATCTCACCCCGTGTGCCATATCAACTTCTGGGCTTTAAAAATGTACCCCGTACTGTGTTCACAACATGATGCTGTTTTGCAGATTTTTTTATTTCTGCCATGCCTTGAAATTTTTGGATGTAAAGTGATTGATAGATGAAGCTTCTGGATTCATGCTTAGTGTCAAGCCCCCATCTGGTGCTTCTGTAGGTGAGGCTAATGATGGAGCTGAACCCATGCCCTCTGTGTCTGTATTCAAACCACTGCTCATGTCACAACAGCCATACAGAGTGTTTGCTTGGTACTAGGTGTTTGTGCAGAGTCTGGTGCTTCTTGCTTTGGGCAAGCAGTGTGGTGTAGTGGTCAGAGCGTTGGCCTAGGACCTGGGAAACCAGGATTCAGTTCCCTGCATAGCCGTGAAGCTTGTTGGGTGACCTTTGGCCAGTCACAGTCCCTCGCCTAATCTACCTTTGTTGTTGGCAGGGTAAAATGAGGAGAGGAGAACCATATGGATATGAATGTGGTAGCAATAAGGGAACAGTAAATAAATAAAAATAGCAAAAGTTGGGATAGCTGATCAGACACGTTTACCAAAATGTTCATGGATGTTGATACATACTTTTGTATGTATGTTTTGTGAGCTGCTTTGAACACACTTACTTTTTTATTTTCAAGACAAAATTATGAAGTTAAAGTAATCTAGTAAGAAATAAATAAAAACAGAAGTGTGTCAGGGGGTGGGGGAGTACAAAACAATGACAGTCGGGTTCACAGCCATTGCCTAATAAAACTAAAGTACATTTTCAAGAGACTGCACAATGCGTTGGATGTCACAACAAAACCCACCCTAATACAGAGAGGATGCAAAGCAAACGTTATGAAACCAAATAAAGCTACGTTTCATTGGGACTTGCCATCCCCATGATTGGCTTGTCATATAAGTAAAAAATGGCTGCCAAATTGGGGGGGGGTTACATAGGTTTAGCTGCACCCCGAAACACTCTTAATTTATAAGTCAGTTTCTCAGAAATGAGAATAAACATTACTTTATGCAACCAAATATTTGTACAACCTGAAAACTCCTTCCAGCCCTGTAGTCGACCCATCAGAAATTGATGAGAGACATAGTTTGCAGTTTGAACACACTTTTTGTTTTCGTGGAAAGGCTGTGTTCCAGTTAAAGCCTGATGTTATACACAATTTTTGTTTTTTGAAAAATGTGGTCGTTATTTAGACCGTCCGAGGGTGTCACGAGCAACTCGCTGGTTTGCGCCTGGTCTCCTCTGCAAGTCCTGAATGATGATTCTGATGAGTTGTTCCCTGTCAGTGCTGTAGGCTCTTTCACCCAGACTGGTGAGTATCTATTGTTAACAGTTGCTATCTTTGCAGCCAAGTTCAAAGACTGCCTGAAACAAGTGCCGTATTTTTCGCTCCATAAGACGCACCTAGTTTTTAGAGGAGGAAAGGGGGAAAGCCCAGTTTTTTGGGGGGATCAGCTCACAGTTGTGCAGCTTCTTCTGCAAAGGGGAAAAGCCCATTTTTTTTTGAGGATCAGCTCAAAGTTGTTGAGCTTACTTTGCAGAGGGAAAAAATCCTGTTTTTATGGGGTTCAACTCACAGTTCTGCAGCTTCTTTAGGAAAGGAAAGGGAGCCGTTTCTACAGTTTCCAGACTGATAATCTAATCAGCCAGTCACATGTCGTTGGGGAAACAAACAGCCTCCGTCTGCAGAACATTCAACAATGGAGGCCTGGGCAAGGGGCCGGGCCAGAAAGGGAGCCAGCGATCAACCACACATTCTCTCCATAAGATGCACAGGCATTTCCTCTTACTTTTTAGGAGGAAAAAAGTGCGTCTTATGGAGCGAAAAATACTGTAACTGAAATACATGGAGGGTGAGTGACATAACACAAAATGTTGGGCTATTTTAAAGGAGGCATGCAAGGAAGTAATTTTTTCTTTGACGCTTTTCTCTCCCCTTGCCTAGTGAGCCTTCTGTATGTTTGTAGTGGAGAGGTAAATGTAGTATTGTTATTGCTATTACTGTTGTTTATAACAAATTTGCATTAAGAAGTTTACTTGCAACACAGTAAATAAAACTCCTACTTAAAAATACACATCACAATAAACTGAAAACATATGGCTATACATTATCATTGTACTCGCTATTCCAGTATGTCGGGGGGAAAAATATGCTTATTTCTCCATCAATTTATTTGGCTCACTTGCTCGTATTCTCCAATAATAGGTTGTCTTGGTCCTTTTCACTATAGTTCAAACATTTTTAATCCGCTCAAAGGTAGTGGGGGGAAGTTGGTTTCTTTCAATAGCTTGTCTGTTCATCTAAGTGAGCAACCGAAACAGCCTGTACAATAAGAAGTCAAAGGCTGCTGACATTCCACTAGACCTTGGAGTAATTTATTAATAGAAGGAGGAGAGAAGACGAAATACAAATAAGTGTGGCCCGTGCAAATAGCTAACATGAAAAATATGGCTGACAAGGAAAATATAGTTCATCGCTGAACAGAAAGAGAGGTGCCAAGCCTGAAGATTGACAGTCACTTGTAAATCATCACATAGAATGAAAATTTGAGCTTTTGTGCAACTTGCATTCATCTCCCTGGGTCTCTTTTGGGTAGATGGTGCCCTTTTGTGTTTTTCTCTTTGGCAGCTATGAGTAAGAAAGACCTGAAAGGGTTAACCGCTGCATCCAGTGCCCTCCTGTGGATTTAACTCTGCAGCATGGTATAAATAGTTGAAAGGCTTGCATACAATTGATCAAAGCCTCTCTTTTAAAAAGCCATTGTCAGGTTCCAAATGGAATGCATACCTTTCCATTAAAGGCTGAAAAGGGTTCAGGTGCCCTGCAATTCATGCCGATATTCTGCCTGCCCCCCAACCCCCCCCCCCCAATACAGATAAACCCTTACGGTAGAGCACTGGAATTTTGTTATAAAAGGCTTTATTTTGGAGGGGAGGAAAACCCTAGCAAGAAGCAGCTCTCTGGGGCTAGCAAGGCAAGCTGCAGCTATTCGGACCACCTTCCTTCTCTCTCTGAGTGCAGACGGGACCTGTCCTTTGCATTTGTTGTTTCGGCATCTTTTTTTCAACACACATCAACACTGAGAAGCCAGCGAGACAATGACAAATGGCAAGAGTTCCTTTAGAGATCTAAAGAAGAGTGACACACAGCTTGAACTGGCCTCTGGAAATGCCCGGCTAAACGATCTTGTCCCATTGAATGCAAAAGGGAGGTGGAGGGGAGACTT